GCCAAGATCGCCCCACTGCACTCCGGACTGGGTGACAGAGTGAGACTCTGTCTCAAAAAAGACATTAATCATTAGGGAAATGCAAATCAAAACCACAATGAGATAACACTTCACATCCACAAGGAGGACTATTGCAGCAAAATGAAAAATAACAAGTGTTGGCAAGGATGTGGAGAAACTGGAACCCTTATACACTCTGGTGTAAGTGTAAAATGGTGCAGCCACTGTGGAAAACGGCATGGCATTTCCATGAAAATTTAAAATTAGAATTACCATATGATACCACAAATAAACTTCTGAGTATATACACACAAAAGAACTGAAAGCAGGAATCTAAACAGATATCTCACAGCCATGTTTATAGCAGCATTATGCACGACAACCAAAATGGGGAAGCAAACCCAGTGTCCCCTGACGAACGAATGAATCAACAAAATATGGTGTCTCTACACAACGGAGTATTATTCAGCCTTAAAAAGGGAGGAAAGTCTGATACATGTTATAACATGAATAAATCTTGAAGATATTATGCTAAGTGAAGTAAGTCAGTAACCAAAAGACAAATACTCTCTGATTCCACTTATTTGAAGTACCTAGAGTGCAGCCTGGGCAACATGGTGAAACCTTGTCTCTATAAAAAATACAAAAATTAGCCAGGCATGGTGGTGCATACCTGTAGTCCCAGCTTTTGGGAGGCTGAGGTGGGAGGATTTCTTGAGCCCAGGAGGTCAAGGCTGCAGTGAGCATGATCGCACGCCACTGCACCCCAGCCTGGGTTGTAGAGGGAGAACCTATCTCAAAAAAAAAAAAAAAAAAAAAAGAAAAGAAAAGAAAAAAGAAAGAAAAAGAGAAAGGGAGAGGGCCAGGCGCAGTGGCTCACGCCTGTAATCTCAGCACTTTGGAAGGCCAAGGCGGATGGATCACTTGAGGTCAGGAATTCAAGACCGGCCTGGCCAACATGGTGAAACCCCATCTCTACTAAAAATAAAAAAATTAGCCAGGCGTGGTGGCAGACGCCTGTAATCCCAGCTACTCAGGAGTCTGAGGCTGGAGAATTGCTTGAACCCGGGAGGCAGAGGTTGCAGTGAGCCAAGATCACGACAGTGCACTCCAGCCTGGGTGGGCGACAGAGTGAGACTCAGTGTCAAAAAAAAAAAAAAAAAAAAAAAAAAAAAAAAAAGAGAGAAAGAGACAAAGGCAGGCAGGCAGGCAGGCAGGCATGCAAGCAAGCAAACAGTCAAGCAAATGAAGTACCTAGAGTAGTCAAACTCACAGAGAAAGCAAGTAGAATGGTGGTTGCCATGAGCTGGGGGAAGGAGTGGGTGAAAGGAGAGTTACTGTTTAACAAATTCTGAGTTTCAATTTTACAAGATGAAAAAAGTCCTGGAGAAGTAAAGTGGTGATGGTTGCACAACGATACTTAATGCCACAGAGCTGTACACTTAAAAAAATAATATAAATGGGCAGGGCGCGGTGGCTCATGCCTGTAATCTCAGCACTTTGGGAGGCTAAGGTGGGTGAATCACCTGAGGTCAGGGGTTCAAGACCAGCCTGACCAATATGGTGAAACCCCATCTCCACTAAAAATACAAAAATTAGCCAGGCACGGTGGCGGGTGCCTGTAGTCCCAGCTACTCGGGACGCTGGGATAGAAGAATTGCTTGAACCCGGGAGGTGGAGGTTGCATTGAGCTGAGATCACGCCACTGCACTCTAGCCTGGGTGACAGAGCAAGACTCCATCTCAAAAAACAATAATAATAATATAAATGGTAAATATTATATTATGTATATTTTACAATTTGAAAATTTTTAGACGAGGAAACTTTCTAACAAAATGAGATTGCTTCAAGCTGCTTATGACTATCTAAACTAAGCGGTTGGAATAAAAGGTAAAATAGGGGTCAGCCTATATCTGGAATTCCTATTCCTCTGCATGATGTTAGAGCTGATTTCTCCCCCCTTAAAAAGGCCCCCAAAGCCATACTGATGCTCAGCATTCAGATAAATCAGTGTATTTGGCTCAAAGTATACACAAATCAAAGAAAACCATGGACAGGTCAATACGATCTACCCTGAAGGATGCACTGATTTATTAAAATGGTCTAAGATATAGTAGTTAGGCCCCACTCCTTGTCCAGGCCTGAGCAGGAAAAAAGCTTTTGAGGAGAGGGCTCAATAGAAAGCTGCCTCCTGTTCTTGATGAACAGGGAAAGTGCCAACAAAGGTGGAAGCTTGTACTTGATATTACTGCATCCAACTAGGATTACATCCTAAGACCCAGCCTACTCCTCTGGCTCTCCCCAGGACAGGAAAGACAAGGGACAAGGACTCCACAGAACAAAGCCAGCCAGGAGGAACAGCCATCACCCCACACCATCCAATCTGGCAGAAGAATGTGCAGCTGATAGATGAAAGCCTTCTCTCCCTGGGGCCAGGGCTGGGAGAAAGTGGCAGTGGTAGGGATGGGACTGATGTCAATTCTGCCTTTTCCTTTTTATCCATACTTACTCAAATACATAGGTATCTTATTCTTTTTTTTTTCCTAACTGCGAGTTATTTAAGAATGATTAATTTGGTTCAACTATGCCACAGGGCTAGAAACGTTTGACCCCAAAGTGAGCCAGGAGGCCATTCTACAACAAAAACACTGGGAAAAATAAAACAGATTGCTACAAGAGGTAGTAAGCTCTCTGGCTCTGGAAGCATTCAAGCAGAGGCTGGCTGACCACTGTCTGGGTTGTGGTCAGGGAGATTCCTGCATTCTAGGTCTGCTTCATCCTAACCTTTCATAGCAGGGTGTTAATAGATAATGTCTCAAGTGGTTTTATCGGGAAAAGAAAAAAAAAACCATATAAGCTTGTTGTTTAGAGTTAAAGAGGGCACCAACAGAGGAACTACAAACAGAAAGAGTCAAGCAACTTCCTTAGAAAGCAGGACTAGAAATGGAAGGCATGGGACAAGGGACCACTGCTCAGTGTTATAAGCTGTTTATTACTTCTTTGCCATGTGCATGTATTAATTTGATTACAATTTTAAAAGTTTAGGCCGGGCGCGGTGGCTCACACCTGTAATCCCAGCACTTTAGGAGGCTGAGACGGGTGGATCACGAGGTCAGGAGTTGAAGAGCAGCCTGGCCAAAATAGTGAAACCCCATCTCTACTAAAAAATACAAAAATTAGCTGGGCGTGGTAGCGTGCGCTTATAGTCCCAGTTACTCCGGAGGCTGAGGCAGGAGAACGGTGTGAACCCGGGAGGCAGAGTTTGCAGTGAGCCAAGATCACGTCACTGCACTCCAGCCTGGGTGACAGAGCGAGACTCCGTCTCAAAAAAAAAAAAAAAAAAAAAAAAAAATTTCTTTTTTTTAAGTTTAGCCAGGTGCGGTGGCTCACACCAGTAATCCTAGCACTTTGGGAGTCTGAGGCTGGTGGATTGCTTGAGGCCAAGAGTTCAAGACAGCCTGGGCAACATGGTGAAACCCTGTCTCTACAAAAAAATTTTTAAAAATTAGCCAGGCGTGGTGGCACATGCCTGTGGTCCCAGCTACTTAGGAGACTGAGGCAGGAGGATTGCTTGAACCCAGGAGGCACAGGTTGCAGTGACCTGAGATTGCACTGCTATACTCCATCCTGGTTAACAAGGAGAAACCCTGTCTCCAAAAAAAAATTTAAGTTTAAAAAAATTTCCATGGGGTTTTTAAAAATATATATTGATGATGCAGTTACTAAGTTTCCAAAAGTAACTGACAACATGGGGACTATCACATTTATACATATAAATACACACACACATACATGTACTTAGAAAAAGGAAAGCAGCATACTAACATCATCTCACTGGTTTTCTCTAGGGAGTAAAACTACTGGTGATCATTATTCTTCATATTTTTCTGGAATTTTTCATGTTCTACAACAAACATGCTAATTTCAACAGTCCGCAAATGGCAATTATTATTACCTTTAACATTTGAAAAAAATAAAAAGCATGAGTGACTGCCCTAGATTAAATACGGCTAACTTCGCATCCCTCCAGCGGTGGCGAGATCCCCACCCGCCTGCCCTGAGTCTGGGCTGGCAGCTGAGGGTGAGAAGCCATAGGGAGAACCAAGGGCACCGACCACCAGCCAGCACCATCGTCAGACATGTGACCAAGGCCACCTCAGACCATCCCAATCTGATGGCAGCTGCATTCCTGATTCAGGCAAGACCAGCAGAAAAGCTGCCTAACTGACTGTATTTTTGGAATCCCAAGCAGATAAATGATTGCTGTTTTAAGCCGCTAGCTGTTTATTTCTTTTTTTTTTTTTTTTTTTTTTTTTGAGACGGAGTCTCGCTCTGTCGCCCAGGCTGGAGCGCAATGGCGCGATCTCCGCTCACTGCAAGCTCCGCCTCCCGGGTTCACGCCATTCTCCTGCCTCAGTCTCCCGAGTAGCTGGGACTACAGGTGCCCGCCACCACACCCGGCTAATTTTTTGTATTTTTAGTAGAGACGGGGTTTCACCATGTTAGCCAGGATGGTCTCGATCTCCTGACCTCGTGATCCGCCCGCCTCGGCCTCCCAAAGTGCCGGGATTACAGGCGTGAGCCACCGCGCCCGGCCGCTGTTTATTTCTTTTGAGACGGAGTTTCGTTCTTGTCGTCCAGGCTGGAGTGCAATGGCGTGATTTCGGCTCACTGCAACCTCTGCCTCCCGGGTTCAAGAGATTATCCTGCCTCAGCCTCCTGAGTAGCTGGGATTATAGGCAACCACCACCATGTCCAGCTAATTTTTTGTATTTTTAGTAGAGACGGGGGTTTCACCACGTTGGCCAGGCTGGTCTCGAACTCCTGACCTCAGGCAATCCACCCGCCTCAGCCTCCCTCCCAAAATGCTGGGATTACAGGTGTGAGCCACCGCACCTGGCCTAAGCCACTAGTTTTGAGGCGACTTGTCACATAGCAATGGATATCTGATGCAATGACAGTTGAAACACCCCTTCCTTCCTCAGTGCCCACCCCAGTACCTGTCCAAGGCGTGCCCATGGCCTCTGGGCTCCACTCGCTCCACTCGCCTTGCCCGAACTCCTCCTGGGCGCGAAGCTGCACCACATGCCTCAGGCCGCTCCAGGCGTCGTGGATGACACAGTGATGCTGGAGGTCCTTGACCTGAGGGCGGGGGCACAGTGACTCTGGGGAGGGGTCCAGGGTGGTGCTGGGCAGGCATCTCCCCAGTGGGTTGGTGCCTTGACCAGCCCTGTGCTTCAGCTGGCAGAGGCCTCTAGAGGCTCTCACCACCCCGGAGGCTCCACTAGTGAGGGGGTTGCCCTCAGGGCCCACGGGAGCTGAATCAGAAAGTCCCTGCCCCACCCATGCACTACAGAATCCTGCAAGCCACAATGCTTGACAGGATTATAGCCCAAATCCCTTCCCACATTGCTCTCCTCACAGGCAAGCCTGGGAAGAGGAGACTGGCCTAGCATTATCCTTCTCATTTAATAAATGATATATCACCAAGGCTCAGAAAGCTTAAAACATTTATCCAAAGCGACGAAGGTAGCCAATTTTGAAGCAGGACCTAGAGCCTATGGTTTTCTTTTTAGTATTCTTTCTTTCTTTCTTTTTTTTTTTTTGAGATGGAGTCTCCCTCTGTCACCCAGGCTGGAGTGCAGTGGTATGATCTCCACTCACCACAACCTCCACCTCCCGGGTTCAAGGGATTCTCCCGTCTCAGCCCCCGAGTGGCTGGGATTACAGGCGTGCACCACCACGCCTGGCTAATTTTTTGTAATTTTAGTAGAGACGGCATTTCACCATGTTGGCCAGGCTGGTCTCCAACTCCTGACCTCACGTGATCCACCCACCTTGGCCTCCCAAAGTGCTGGGATTACAGGCGTGAGCCACCATGCCTGGCCTCTAGTACCCTTTCTACTATGCCTAAGCATCTGGGGGCACCTCTCTGACCAGAAGTAAAACATAAATTTACCATCCATGTTGTGAATGTCTTTGACCGTTCAGCTCGATATCTGAGCTCAAACCGTAGTCTGTAGAAAGATGAGTTCCAGGAATGGGGGTCTTGCCAGGTGACACTGAGCCAGCGGGGGTTTCTGGCCACGGCAGTGACTGTGATGTTGGCAGGCGGATCAGGCTGCACTGTGGGAAAAGGGAGCATGGCTCCTATGCAGCAGCAAATATAGTGTAGAGAAGCCCATGTAGGCTGAGTTCCCAGCAGGCAGGGCCCCACCCAGCCCCGTTCACTCCCCGGGCACAGCTCCACAAGGGCCTGCTTCATCATTGCCACACCTCCCGGCAAGCAACGCCCAAAAGCCACCAACTCACCAAATCCCTCAACCACCCCTTCCCTGACCCTCTGAGAAGTCGATAAGAAGGATTAAATCAAAAATGAAGGAAACTGCTGGAGAGGGGGAAGAGTTTACGTACAGATTCCACAACCCTGAAAGGTCTGAGTTTTGCTGAACTTGCTCCCGACACTACTGGCGACGCACATGGACACTATGTAGAAAGAGCTGTCTCCCTCCGGGACTGCCAACTGGCAGGAGAACTTCTGGGACTCCTGGGAATACTGGCACGGCTCCTGGAAGTCTTCGGCCGGACTGTTCTGACTGTTAGACACAAAACAAGGGCAGGGCTCGCCTGTCAGTTTCGCACAGACTCAAGAGGGGAGAGAAGGGGGAAGTGGAATCCCGGGGTTTGAATCCCAGCTCCAGACTCATGAGCCCTGTACCTCTAAGTCTTCTTTTCTCATTTACAAACAGGAATATTAATACTACCTATCTCGTAGGGGTTCTGTTAAGATTTTTTTTTTTTTTTTTTTTTTGAGATGGAGTCTCACTGTGTCGCCCAGGCTGGTGTACAGTGGGGTAATCTCGGCTCACTGCAACCTCCGCCTCCAGGTTCAAGAGATTCTCCTGCCTCAGCCTACCAAGTGTGCCCAGCTAATTTTTGTGTTTTTAATAGAGATAGGGTTTCACCATGTTGCCCAGGCTGTTGGCAACATGTTGCACCACGTAAGCCATCATGCCTGGCTGGTTCTGTTAAGACTGAAAAATAATGGCCGGGCGCGGTGGCTCACGCCTGTAATTCCAGCACTTTGGGAGGGCAAGGAGGGCAGATCATGAGGTCAGGAGTTCGAGACCAACCTGGCCAATACGGTGAAACCCTGTCTCTACTAAAAATACAAAAAAAGAAAATTAGCCTGGCGTGGTGGCACATGCCTGTCCCAGTTACTCGGGAGGCTGAGGCAGAAGAATCGCATGAACCCAAGAGGCAGAGGCTGCAGTGAGCAGAGATCGTGCCACTGCACTCCAGCCTGGGTGACAGAGTGAGACTCCATCTCAACAAAAAAAAAAAAAAAAAAAAAAAGAGCAATAAATGTAAAATCTACAGAGGAGGAAACTAGCTGGATTTATAAATATATATAAACACGTAGCCTAGCGCCTGACACGAAGGGTGAGGGGAGCTAGGCTGGAGGGCTCATTCAGTCACTCAGGCCTTGGTGGGCTGGCCAGCTCTGGTCTCCCGCTGGGCCTGTGCTCTTGGCACTATAGGGGATGTAGAAATGAATTGAGAGGCCCCACCCTGGCTTTAAGGCACTAACAAAAAAGACCTGTCCTCAGATGACTAGACACCCAGCAGAAACGCCGCTCCAGAGACGCAAAAAGTGCTAGAGGGATTCTGGCAGGGGAGTCCAGAAAAGAATTCTGGGTGACTGAAGACGTTCGAGGTGAGTCAGTCACCATCCCACCTGGCCTGGAAACCTGAGGTTTCACCCTCTTATGACACATGTGGGGATATGAGGCCACGTCAGCCACTCACCATCTGGCTGGGGTGACGAGTCTGCCATCTCTGACTTGGGTTCGAACCCTGGGCTCCTGCTGAGTCCAGCACATGGGACAAACCCAACCTTTCCAGGCTGAGTTAAAGCCCCCTTCCTCCTCCCCCCAACACCACCCAGGCTTCCACCTAGCCACAAAGGCAGGGTCACCGACTGCTTTACGTGTGTGCCCAGGCGGGGTCAGAGGGCCGGGGCTCAGTCTTGTTGGCCTGCGTCTCTCCCACTGCCCCAGCACCACGCCTGGTCCAAGGCAGAGGCTGAACTCACCCATGCCTGTGGAAGAAGGAGTGAATGGTGCTGCAATTGGGCCAGGGTATGAAAGCAGACACACATGAGAAAAAGCAGAGCTCCCAGTAATCCCTTTCCAGGGGCCTGTCTCTTCCAGGCCCTGCAGTGGCCTGAGGTCCGGGTAGGGCCTCAGTGGGGGCTGGGGCCCCTGAGACTCTCACAGCCACTTCCCCTGCTCTTTCCTCACTTCAAAGGTGCCCAGTGGCCATGCTGACTCTTCAAAGCAGATGGAAGCAAACGCTCGAGGCTGCTCAGGAGGAGGACAAGCACTGTAACACGGACACCGCACCCTCTCCCACTCCTGCTGTCAACATGGAAAGTATTCCAGTCAAGCCGGGCGCGGTGGCTCACGCCTGTAATCCCAGCACTTTGGGAGGCCGAGATAGGTGGATCACCCTAGGTCAGGAGACCAGCCCAGCTAACATGGTGAAACCCCATCTCTACTAAAAATACAAAGATTAGCCGGGCGTGGCGGCGTGCGCCTGTAATCTCAGCTACTCAGGAGGCTGAGGCTGGAGAATCGCTTGAGCCCAGGAGGTGGTGGTTGCAGTGGGCCGAGATCATGTCACTGTACTCCAGCCTGGGCGACAGAGCGAAACTCCATCTCAAAAAAAAAAAAAAAAGTATTTCAGTTGAAGTGTCAGACATGACAGAGATTTCCACAGGCTGGCCTGGGAAGCTGCCAGCCAACGTCTCTATCCTGCCTAATCCTGTCTATGGTACAAGCCTTTGAGGTACAAACAAGGCGTATCCTTCACTGGACTGCGAAGCTACCCAGGCTTGGGGCATGAGCTGACGGTGCTGATGGCAGCTGCATCACTCACAGATGGGTAATCCGCACTTTTCATTATAGAGGACAGAACAAAAATACGACTGCCGGGCGGCCCAGTAACTCTATGGAAACAGACCCAAGTGGGAGCCGAACCACCCTGCTGAAGTCACTGCTCTGGCTTTCTGATGCAGTAGTCCTGCCTTATCTGAGGTTTTGCTTTCCAAGATTTCGGTTACCTGTGGTCAACTGCAGTCTAAAAATATTAAATGGAAAATTCCAGAAATAAGCACTTCAGAAGTTTTAAACTGCCCCCTGTTCTGAGAAGTGTGATGAGATTTCATGCCGTCCCGCCCAGGACGTGAATCATCGTTTTGTTCAGCATTTCCACGCTGTACATGCTACTCGTCGCTCGTCCTGACATCCACTGCCATCATCATGGCTCAGTGATCCCGAGTCACCCAAAACAGGTGATCCTCCTTCTGACACATGGTCAGAAAGTCCTAGTAGCCTAACACCAAGTCACAATGCCTACATCATTCACCTCACTTCATCCCATCATGCAGGCATTTCACGACCTCACATCATCACTAGAAGGGTGAGTACAGTAATAAGAGATTTTGAGAGAGAGACCACATTCGCATAACTGTTATTACAGTATATTATTATCATTGTTCTATGCTATTATTATTAACTTCTTACTGTACCTAACTTATAAATTAAACTATCATAAGTACATATCTATAGGAAAACATAGTATATATAGGGTTCAGCACCATTTGCAATTTCAGGCATCCACTAGGGGTCTTGGAATGTGTCCTCCTTGCCACTGTATTCTTATGACTGACAGCTCAAAATCAATTGTAAACCTCTGGACTGGGGAGACTGTGGCTCTGGGATGGAGACTGGCAAAACCGCAGAGGCAGATTTGTTTTCAGCATCTTCTACCTCCTCTACATCCATGCCTGAACCCATCCCAAGTCTTCCCATGTTAAGCCGTCTTCCTGTGATGACGCAGGGACCCTCAGGCACCCTCAGGCAGGCGTGACTTCTTGCCCCATGGCCCCTAGCTTCCTCTCCCCTGACCATCACCGCTTTCTCTCTCGTGCCTTTATCATGGAAATAGCCTGAGATGCCCACAAGGGCCCAGACACTGATAAGAGGCTGGCTGTGCTACCCTCTCCTAGGGACATTTGCATGTTTTTCAGAGCAACGCCCATAACCTTCGGACTTTGAATGAAATCAGACAGACTGGGACTGAATTCTCAGCAGAGCCACTTACTAGTTAAGTGACCCAAACCCATTAATCAGTCTCTGGGCCTCAGTCTCTCCATCTGTTAAGTGAGAAAAATAACGCCCACTTCCCATAGCTGTTGGGATAACAGTGAATAGGACAAGGTTCCAAGCACAAGCACAGTGCCTAGCTCAGGGGGGCAGTCAAATGTAAATCTCAGTTTCCTCTCATCTCCTCTTCCTCAGCCTGAAGGAATTACTTCCTAATTGAACCAGCCCCTCTCTGGGGGCCTCGGAAAGGAGGGAGCCGACGTGCACCCAGCTCAGCCCAAGATACTTACAACTTCCTCACCAACAGCACAGCCTTGGTCGTCGGAGATGGGGTGCTCCGAGGACCCCACTCACAAACAACGTTGCTGAGGGGGCTCTTCCGGAAGCAGGAGAGCTGGGGCTCCTCGGGGGGAACTGAAAGGAGAGCATCACAGGTGTGAGCAGGCCGGCGGGGATCCTGGGGCACACCCGACCTCGCAGGCAGGGCAGCCTCCCTTGAAGGGAACGCATGGCTAGGGGCCAGTCCTGGGGCCAGTCAGGACCAGACACCATGGCCACACTTCGTCACACACGAATGGAATCGCAGCTTGGAAATTAAAGGACACCAAAGACCTCATGTCAGTCTGGGACACGCATCCGGGACAGGGGAAGGGAAGCACCTCAGGGCCAACTTGTCTGAAGAGGAGATAGGATGATTGAAAAAAAAGGGCTTTGGAGTCGCACAGACCTGGCTGTGTGGCCTTGGGCAAGTCGTAGCCGCTCTTCAGTTTCCTCATGTATAAAATAAACTGATGATAATGTAATGATGATGGCAATGATGATAAGCCTGCTTTCCCTGACAAGGCTGCTGAGGGATTACAAGAGATACAAAGAAGAAAGTGCCTTGGCATAGGGCTCGGCACACAGGGCACTGGTTCCAGCAAGTCTTTATCTACGTGTGAGGGAGCTAAGAACTTGCTAATTCTAAAAAAGAATAAGAATAGCTAATTTGAGAGCTTAGGATGTGCTATACAGACTTTTTAGCACCATATGTGTATGATACACACATACACGCGCACACATAGGCGAATTCATATATACCCCCTTTGCAACAACTCTAAGGTAAGGTAATAAAATTAACCTTATTTTGCCAAAGATGCCACTGAGGGGCGGAGAAGTTAAGCTGTATGTGAAGGAGTAGGATTTAAACCCAGGCTGCCTGACTCCAGGCCCCAGGCTATTCACCAATTCACCGGAAGTCCTAACTCCCAATGCCAATGTTCCCCATCAGTCAGACGCTCCCACCCAGCAGCTGTCTTTGCCGGCATCTGGGTGGCAGACATTGGTGGGCCTTCCCCAAAATTCTTGCACCAAGGAAATGGAGGGAGTTTGAAGGCTCAGACAGGGACTGCCTGGAATGCACAGAGCCTCATTTCTTACGAGAACTATCTCCAGGAGCTCTGAGGCACCACTCACCATCCACCAGCAAGTGCACAGTCCCAGCCGGGTGGCCGGCCCGGTAGCATGAATAGTTTCCAGAGTCATGGAGCTGCACCGACCTCAGCAGCAGCCTCCTTCCCACGCCAGCCCATCTGCTGAGGTGCGAGCCTGCAGCTGGCTTCCTGAGAACCCAATGAACAGTGGCATTGTCTTCCGGCTCTCCCCCTGGGCAGGTCAGAGTCACGCTGTCTCCTGGCAGACTGGTCAGCACACCTCTCGCCACCTCTGGAAGAGGGAGAAGACACTCGGTGAGCCCATAGCCACTGAAGAAGGGGCTTCGTTCTGGTCTGAGGAACCCACAAGAGGCCTCAGTGATAATCATAAAGTGGTCCAGGCTACCGTCACCTCTGCCTGGATTAGGGCAGCAGTCACCTGGTGGCCTCCCCAACCTGGTCCTCACCATCCAGCTGCCTGGGAGAGCCTTCTGAAGCTACAATCCAGCCGCCCCACTCCCTGGATTAGAAAACCCTTCAAGGGCCTGCCACCATCCACAGGATGAAGTCCGAGTTCCTCAGCGTGGCCCGCAGGGCCCTGCTGTCCTTGGAGGTCTCATCTCTCCCCACTCCTTAGAAGGTGTGGAGCTCTCCCCTCAGCTCCCGTAGCTCTCCTCCTCACACTCATTCTTCACACATCATCCCCTCGACAACTCCTCCTATTCCAGGTCTTGGCCTAAACATCGTTTCCGGTCCCTCGGCTGCACTAGGCCCTCATTCTGCACTACGTCGCCCACACGCTGCCATGTAATTACCAATTCCGTGTCTCCCTTTCCCTCAAGACTCCAAGCACCACAAGAATAGGCACCCTGCTCTGTTGTTCTCCGTCACATTCCAGTGCCCGGGACGTTGCCTGGCACATGGCAGGGGCCTGCTGAGTGCTTGATGAATATGTGAATGAATGGATGCCCTTAGGAATGAATGCCAGGCACCCAAGCGCACATGTACACAGGAGGCCTCCAAATCGCAGGGTATTCATGGCAGAATGCCTATTGTACAGTTGGCAACCAAGGCACAGAAGAATCAGGAGACTGGCCCAGATGCACAGCTGGGGTGGAAACCAGAGCTTCTGGTTCCCTGTTCCACGCTCCCTCCACTACCCTACATCTACTACAGCAATGCTGTGTTTACTCTAGGGACCAAACTGGAAGGTTAAAAAGCAAAATGCATTATCTGCCCCTTGAAAAAAAATTGGGTGTATTCTACTACTCAAGAAAAAGGAGATTAAAGATTAAAGGAACAAGTACACTTTTTTTGAGTAGCAGTTATAGATTCATAGAATCTAAGATAAAAATTAGCCCAACCACCTTGGACTCATTTATTAACCAATCAATCAAATTAGTCCAACCAGCTAAGGAAACAGAGGCCAGGGAACACAGCCAGTTTTCATGTAAGCACACTTGGTCCTTCGAACCAAATACATAACTGTTTATTAGCAAGCAGTAGCAATATATCTGGCCAAAGATTTCAGAAAGGACCAGCAGCTGCTGAGTGCCTGACCTCACCTCCTGGCCCATGCTCCTGGGACTCAGAAGCAGCACGAGGCTCCCTGCCTGGCCTGCAAAGCCCTTCTTGTTTATGAGGCGTTATCTCATACTTAGCAGACTGTCCTTCCTTTCACCTCATCCAAGGTGGCTGTCAGAGGAGGGAGTAAGGATCAGTGACTCCCAGGCAGATAACACCCCCAAAGCTGGTGAGGTTGGAGCCCACACTGGCTACTGGCCACAGTCCAGGGAGACAGACATAGACATCAAAGGGGCAAAGATAGCTCTGCCTGGCATTGGGCCCTGCCTAGCTATACAGATACCCTTCACACTTCCCTCTCACTTTCACACCTGGAGCCAGAGTCCTCCTCCCTGGCACCCTCTACCCGGAGGCTGACAGAAAAGGACAGATACAAGGCCATCATGGCAGCCGGTCATCTAAGGTTTTCTCTGGTCACCAACAGAGCCCTGGACCTTGGGTAAGAAAGGTGGTTGAATTGTCACCATGCAGCCAGGGGAGTTTGGGCAGGTTCCCAAGACCCCTATGGCCTCACTTTCTCCCACAGTGAGCAAGTCCTATGTTTGATAAACATTCGAGGAGGCTGTAGCAGCCAGGCACTGGCGAGGAAGACACAATCAGGCATCCCAGAGACCTGCCCTTGAGAGATGGGAGACGCATTCGCTGCTGCAAGGCCAGGACACAGTATACAGTACTCTCCTGGTCCTCAGCAAAATCCGAGTCCCAGCTGGGCCTCACACCTGTAATCCCAGCACTTTGGGAGGCTGAGGCGGGTGGATCACCTGAGGTCAGGAGTTCGAGACCAGCCTGGCAAACGTGGTGAAACACCATCTCTACTAAAAACACAAAAATTAGCTGGCCATGGTGGCGCATGCCTGTAATCCTAGCTACTCAAGAGGCTGAGGCAGGAGAATTGCTTGAACCTGGGAGGCGGAGGTTGCAGTGAGTCGAGATTGTGCCACTGCACTCCAGCCTGGGTGATAGAGTGAGACTTTGTCTCAAAAAAAAAAATCTGAGTCCCTAGAAGGTGAAGTCCACTGAGGGCAATAAGGAGTGGACCGCTACTGCCCAGAGGGCTTGAAAGAGTTATAAAAAGCCCCAACTACAATATAGCTTTCACAGAAATAGAATGTTCAACAATATATTTTTAGCATTGCAAACATCATTTTTTAATATATTACATAATCCATGCAAATTCATATATGTAATGTATGTAAAAGCTACATACATAAAAGTTAATTTAGGAAGCATAAAACACCCAGGAGAGCCCACCAACCTAACTTTTAAAATTAAGTTCACTACCCCTGGATCCCTAAATTTTTCTTAACTTTGCTTCATTTTTGAGCTTCATATAAATGGTTTGAATATAGTCTTCTGCTGTGATGTGCTTTTCTCTTTTCATTTTCTTTTCTTTTCTTTTTTTTTTTTTTTTGCGGGGGAAGGGACAGTCTCGCTCTGTCACCTAGGCTGAAGTGCAGTGGCGTGATCTCAGCTCACTACATCCTCAACCTCCCATGTTCAAGTAATTCTCCTGTCTCAGACTCCCAAGTAGTTGGGACTACAGGCACACACCACCACATCCGGCTAATTTTTTTTTTTTTTTTGTATTTTTAGTAGAGATGGGGTTTCACCCTATTGGTCAGGCTGGTCTTGAACTCCTGATCTCAGGTGATCCACCCACCTCTGCCTCCCAAAGTGCTGGGATTACAGGCATGAGCCACCACGCCCAGCTGGTGCTTTTCTCGAACTTCCTGTGTGTGTGTGTGTGTGTGTGTGTGTGATACAGAGTCTCAGTCTGTTGCCCAGGGTAGAGTGCAGTGACACAATCATAGCTTTTTGCAACCTCAAACTCCTGGGCTCAAGCAATCCTCCCACCTTAGCCTCCTGAGTAACTGGGACTATAGGTGCATACCACCATGCCCAGCTAATTTTTTTTTTTTTTTTTTTTTTTTTTTTTTGAGATGGAGTCTCGCTCTGTTCCCCAGGCTGGAGTGCAGTGGCGCAATCTCGGCTCACTGCAAGCTCCACCTCCCGGGTTCACGCCATTCTCCTGCCTCAGCCTCCTGAGTAGCTGGGACTACAGGCGCCCACCACCGCGCCCGGCTAATTTTTTGTATTTTTAATAGAGACAGGGTTTCACCGTGGTCTCGATCTCCTGACCTTGTGATCCGCCCGCCTCGGCCTCCCAAAGTGCTGGGATTACAGGCATGAGCCACCGCGCCCGGCCGCCCGGCTAATTTTTTAATTTTTACTACAGACAAGTTCTCAATATATTGCCCAGGCTGGTCTTTAACTCCCGGCCTCAAGCCATCCTCCCGCCTTAGCCTCCCAAAGTGCTGGGATTACAGGCATGAGGCATCGTGCCCGGCTGCTCTTTTTTTTTTTTTTTTTTTCTTTTTCTTGGAACAGGGTCTCACTCTGTCACTCAGGCTGAAGTACAGTGGCATAATTACAGTTCACTGCAACTTCAAATTCCTGGGCTCAACTGATCCTCTCACCTCAGTTTCCCAAGTAGCTGGGACTACAGGTACATGCTACCATGCCTGGCTATTTTCTTTTCTTTTTTTTTAGACATGAAGTTTCACTATATTGCCCGGGCTGGTCTCAAACTCCTGGCCTCAAGCAATCCTCCCACCTGGGCCTCCAAAATGTTGGGATTACAGGCATGACCACCTGGCCCAGCCTCATTGATATGTTTCTCTGATTCACTGACATATATAGTTAATTCAGTTTCACTGCTATGTAGTATTCTGTTGTGTGACCCTATCATTCTCTCACTGAGGGAGGTTTGGGGTCATTCCCAGTGTTTTGCCATATCAAAGAGGGCGGCTATTAACTTTCTTATGACTCAGTGCACTTGCCCAGGAACTTCCCTAAGAGTGAAACTGCTGGTGTTGGTGTGTGTGTGATATGTGTCCTTTTCCTTCACAACTGAACACATGGTCCAGTGTGTTGAACTCCAGTGGGCACCTGATGGAGGCAGCAGTTTACCACATCCAGTCCACATCTTGAAGTCCATCAGTGCCTGAATGTGGTTACGTATGGAAGATGCAACGACACTTCTAATCAATGCACCAATATTTCCACTTTTCCATTTTCCACTTGATAAAGCAGCTGTCAAGATAAAGCCTAACACGGACTTCAAGTTCCTGCATAAATGACAAACTTGCAGGAACAAAGATGGAAACAGTGCCCAAAGAGAACTGCTCCCAGTGCAATGCTTGCAATATCCCTTCCTCAGCTGATTAGCAGAAATCAGAATTCACAGGGCAGTCTAGGAGCACCAGCATGCAACAGACACAAGTGCAGGATGCATGATGGTCGAAGGCAGGGGTCAAGGACCACCACGGCTCATCCAATCACTGGCACTTTTCACACGGCACAGTCCTCAACTATAAAAAGGTCCCTTCCCCGACCATGGTGACAACACTGGAAGCTCCTGGTCATCACTCACCAGAGAACTCAGTAGGTGCTTAATGCATGTTTGCTGAATATAGGGCACGTTGGGGTACCCACAGAGAGGGTCTCGGCACCAAAAACTCCCAGGAGCACGGTTTGCGGAGAGGGGGTCTAAGTGGTGCCTTCTCGTGTTGTGCGATGGGCAGGCCCAGGCTGGGGGGCAGAGGAACCCGCTGAGGCAAGGAAATAGACTCCTGGAGCCACAGGAAGCTCTCTTTTCTGCTTCTGCCTTTGCCAAATCCAGTAAATACATCTTTCTGGTCATTTCCC